ATGATGATGATGATGATGATGATGATGATGATGATGATGATGATGATACTGGTCTTCAACCACAAGGACAGAGTACAGAATTCATCTGGGTTCTTCAATTTGGTTTTGTGGCCTGCCTGAATGCATTGAGAATTCATTTATTTACTCTGTGGCAGTAAATTGCTTATGTAATGTGCCTCTGGGAGCTGACTAAATCCCTTTCATTAACGCTAATAGCAAGATTGTCCACCTCACCAAACGCATTTAGCTTTTGATGAGCTTGCCCAAGATCTTTGGGGAATAAGAGCTCTGTTCCCTTGATTTAGTCACGCTGTTGAGAGACTTTGTTTGTTGTAATGGCACTTATTACTCTGCAATATGGAAAGGACTGCACATCATAGTTAGTTGTGATTCTGGTCAGAGCCATGGTGGTATGGCAAAGCAGAGAAGTTCCACGGTAGCATGCAGCCTACAGCATTCCTGAGTGCTGCCTGAGCCAGATGAAAATGTGGTTCCTATCTGATTGCAATGTGTTGATGTATTAATCAAAAAGAAATACGTAAACACGTGGTTTTCTCAATGTGTGGCCCATGGGGATCCTTCTGTATGATTTCGTGTCTTCTGTCTCTATTTGTTTGACACCATTGTGGTAGAGCCCCTTTGAGCCAGGAAACCTGGGTTCAAGTCCTAGCTTTGAAACTGGCAAAACAAAACAAAACAGAACTACTAACTTTACGTTCTTTCTTTTTGTAAATGGTTCATCATAGGGTTCCTTTACATTATCCCTTGAGTTATCTATATCTATGTACATATCTATCTATATGTATATAGATGTATATATATCTATTCATATCTACCTATATCTACTTCTCTATCTACCTACCTATCCATCCATCTATTCATAGCTAGCTACCTCTCTATCCATTTTTCCATGTCTATCTACCTCTCTATCCATTTTTCCACATCTATCTACCAATCTATCCATAGCAACCTATCTATCCATCTATCCATATCTATCTATATCTACCTATCTATCCATCTATCCATATCTTACCAAAATTCACAGTATAACCATTTTAGGAACACGTATTGTGTAAAGGAAGGTATAACTGCAATCTGTCCTCCTTTCTAGTCTTTTTGTAGTCAGGTCCTTATACAAAGGGGGTTATAGGGATCCTCAGTTTGTTTATAAGGGGGAAGATACTTACATTGCCTTGAATGAATGGGGAGCACCTGGCAGCGATGAGGTAATGGGGAGGGGCTGAAATTATTGGAAATCAAATGGATTTTGAAAAAGAGCTCAATGATACCAGTCAGTGTACTCTTCCTCTCAGAGGAAGTCTTCACTTAACCTTCATGCTCTCATATGTGTGGTTTTCTATGACATAACTGAAGAGTGGGTTTTAAATCATAAAGCTTTTTGTCTACAAGAGCCCCGCCCCCATTGTGCTTTCTACTGTTCAGATGATTATACACTTTACCAACCTGGAGAAGTATATGATAAAATTCACTGTAAGACAAAATACTTACTTACTTATTCAGGAGGTTGGTAGCAGATGGGTACTATGACAGTGCCCTGGATCAAAGATTGCATTTGGGGAGACCAGATTGGTCTGCAGGGAAACTGACCAGCTGTCTCTCTACTTTAGGACAATTTTGAACCACCATGGTGAAATTGGGGAGTAACCTGTCAGAGAAGCCAGAGAAGGAGCAGGGCAGCGGAGGTGGTGGAGGGGAAGATGGCTTTGACAACATCCCTTTGATAACCCCACTGGATGTCAATCAGCTACAGCAGCCATTCCCAGACAAGGTAATGTGAGCACAGCATGTGTGAGTGGGTACCCTTGGGTGATTGGGATAAAAGGGAGTACCATGAGTTGAGCATTGAGGAGAATTGGGGATTGCAAGAAGTAAAAGTGAAGGCCAATGCTTGACCTTGTTTTCCTTCGGCAATAATGATATATTACTTTCCCAATAGCTATAACTTAAAATGGTACAACTGGAGGTGTTGGAAGAAATACATTCATTCGTGTCTTTGTGTTCCCTTTATAACTAGAGAAATAACCTTTAAAAAAAAGTTTTATCAATGCCTTTTTGTTTTTACATTATTCATTTTCAGATATAGCTCCTTCATCCCCTTTCCAGTGTCTTATATATATCAAAGAAGAAATAAACATTTAAGCAAAACCAATAAATACATTGGCCAAATCTGATGATACATGCCATATTACATACCCATTATATTACCCACCCAACCCCCTCTCCCCCCAAAAAAGGAAGAGAGACTCATTTCTTCATCTCTTAAGGCTGTTGTAGAAGCCGTTGGTTGCCCTCTCATGTAGAAAAGTATGCGGTGAACAAAAGTTCAGGGAAGCTAAGGTCAAAGGTCACAGTGAGCTAGCAGCAACAATGGTACTAAAATCCAGGCCTCTTGACTCCCAGCCATCATACTAGAGTAAGCTCTTTTTCTCCATTTCTAGATGGTTGGCCAATTCCACTGGGCAACTCTTTTCGGGATTTAGGGAGGGGCATGTGCCTGGCGAGGCACTTAAGAGACCCCCACTGCAAAATCATTTCTTCTCCCATAGGTGATAGTCAAGACCCGAACAGAATACCAGCTTCAGTCAAAGAAGAGAAAGTTGCATGTTCCAGGAATCAAGAGGCTGAATGTCAATCTCTATGATGAAGTATCAGAAAAGGTCAAGGTAAAAACAACCCCCACTCACAGGGTCCCTTTGCTAATTTTTCCTGATAATTCAGGAAGGAGAAATGTGAAAGTCTTTGAAAAGCCTCTGTTTAGGAAAGGAAGTTGGTTGGAACATTGTCAATCTTGGCTAAGGTTGGAGTTGTCCTACTGAGGAAAGAAGAAGCTAGAGACAAGGAGAGAATGCCCTGGATACATTAGTGGCCTGGATACATAAGCAAAATCCAGCCAAGGGCCCTCCAGAGGAGTACTACTTTGGGGTGCCAAGTGTTGTTTTAGGGCCCAACTGGAAATACTGTCAGGTTGGGGGCCTGGGGGATGTGTAAGGACTGAACCAGGAGCTAGTTCTTCTGGGTAAAGGAGCTTTAGTAAAAAGCACTCAGTGAAGACAGTGTCTTACGGTTGTTTACCAGCTATGAAGGGGCTCAGGTAGAGCAGAACTGGCATTGCTTCAACCTATTGGAAAGATAAATACTTTAAAGAGGTGAAGGAACCTGAGTGACTCTTGCTGACAGAAAAGGTAAAGGGAATGTAGAGGCTTGCTTTTTTTTGTTTTTTAGACCAGTCCCATCAGAGGGATCATTAATTTGGTGGCATTAATACTTGAGACTTTTGGAAATGGATTGCAAAGAACAGAATGAGACAACAATATGGCAGTGTCTGATATCTTTCCCTCACAACCATGTTGTACCTGAGGAAAAAGGGAAGTATTGTTCCATGGAAGATCTTTAAAGAAACCACTTAAGACCAGCTTGGCAGAGTGGAGAGAGTGATAGAACAAGGCACTTGGAGTCAAGAAGACCTGAGTTTAAATTCACCTCTGACACTTACTGGCTGTGTGACCAGGGGCAAATCACAAAAATTTCCCTCTGCCTCAGTTTGTCTGAAAAATGAGGATAGCAATAATAGCTACCTCTCAGGGCTATTGTGATTATCAAATTGAGAGTGTATGTGTATGTATGTATATATGTATATATATATCACATTATTAATATAAATATATATGTGGGTATTATGTGTGAATATGTAAAGCCCTTTACAAGTTTCAAAATGCTATAAAATGTTAGTTATGATTCAGACCAAAATTCATTACTGAAAGCCCTGATTAGTGGGAATGACCTGTGAGTGACTCAAACTCCTATTTTGTAGACCCCAGGGTCTCCCAGTTAGCTCTAGGATTCAACTCAAAGCCCTCCTTTGGGTACTTAAAGCCCTTCCTAGCTTTCCAGTCTTTTGAGTAATTCTTTCCTTCCCTCCTTACACTCTACAATCCAGCAACAATATTCTTTCTATTTTTCCTATACAACATTCCAATCTCCACACTGCTTTTCTCTAAGACTTTTCCTTGGCTATCCCTTATGGCTTAAATGTTCTGTCTCTCATTTCTGTCTTAGTTTTCCTGGCTTCCTTCAAGATGAAGATCAGTCTCATTTCCCCCAAATTCTAATGCTTTCCCTATGAGATTGCCTTCCATATACCCTGTATATATCTTGCATGTACAGAGTTAATTATGTCTTTTCCCATTAGAACATAAGCTTCTTGAGGGCAGGAACTGTTTTTGACTTTCTTTGTTTCCCTAGCATTTGGCATAATACCTGGCACACAGTAGGCACTTTAAACACTTACTGACTGACAGTCCTTGGGAGCAAGGTTACTTCCTACCCCAAACTGTCTTTTGCTTGATAGGGTAGTACTATTCAATGGCTTTTGGGGATTACATTGGAATACATGGGACCAAAACCACATATCCTTTACTTTGGGAAAGATACCTAGTATACAGCTTGCCTTCATTTGAAAGTAGCTTTGTTCATATCTTTTCCCATTCCCAACTGAAGCTGATTATAGATGTGAATCCTTACCAGATTCACATACTCCCTAATCAAACTGGCGTGTTTCAGTAAATAGTTATCTCCTATGACAACACTACTGGTCATCCTGGGGTGGAATTCAGGATCAGTGGTTTGATCATGGGACTTGATCCAAAGATCCTTCTGTCCCATTATCAGAGTAACCATAAGGCCACAGACGTCTAAAGGGTGGAGATAAGCAGATCACAGGCTCCCCAAGTTACAGCTTGAGGAGCCCTTACAGGCCACAGAGTTCAGCCCCCTCAATTTATAAAGATGTAACCTAGGCCCACTTGCCTAGGGTCACACAAGTGGCAAGCAGCATAGTCAGGATTCAAACTCAGAGCTCTTTGGATTATAACATGATGCCTCCAGCATGAGTTGGTTTAACCAATTAGAGTTAAAAGCTGAAGAAATGTGCCCTCAATTAGGGGGTTCAAATCTAAAAATCAAGCTGCCTAGTGGAAGCTCAGGTCATTTTTCCCCCCGAGAGCTAACACGGACACTTCATACCCATCTGGAGGGCCCCCTGGTCTCTAGTTGACTCCACTACCCTGGATGTATGGCAAAATTAAGCATTACTCCTCCCTCTAGAGCATGTTGCTGGGCTTTGGGACACTGGCTTTGTGCTGTGATCTTGGTGCAAGGCTGCTACCAATTCTGGGGCTTATCTGCTGGGCCCTTCCCTTAGCCTTTTTGCCTATTATGGGTTGGCCCTGAAATCTCTGAGGTGAATCCATCTATTTACTCCGACAAAAATTTAGTAAGCACCTGACTCAACAGTGCTTGGCCCATAGTAGGTGCCATATAAATACTTATTCCCTCCCTCCCCCCTATGTAAGTGTTGGGATTATAAAAACAAAACATACCCTGCCTTTAGGGAGCTTATATTTCACTGGGGTGGTGGTGGGATTTAACATGCACGCAGATAAATAAATAGAAGGTAATTTGGGGAAGGGGAGAGCACTAGCAACTGCAGGGTGGGGAGGTGGGGGTGGTTGGGGGAGAGCAGAGCAGAGATCAGAGAATTTAGAGGCGTTAGCACCTGAATTGAGGCTTGCAGAAAGATAAGGCATTCTGACAGGCAAAGATAAGGGATGGTATTCAAGGTGTGGGCTGCAGCTTTCAGGCATGCATAAGTGATGAGAGATGGCGTGTCAAATCTGGGGAACAGCTGGTAGTCCAGCTTTACTGGAGCTTAGAGTGGGTAAGAGGGAATAAATGTGAAATAAGGCTAGAAAGGTAGATCACAGCCAGATTGTGGAGCTCTTTAAATGACAGGCCGAGGAATTTTTTTTTTCTTTTGTGTGTGTTTTATCCTAGAGGCAATAGATAGTCGCTAAGGATTTCTGATCAGGGAAACGAATTGGTCAGACTTTCTTCTCTCCAGGTGGCCTATATTCTATTTCCATGACAGTGTTGTTTCTCCATTCCCCTCTTAATTGATCTTCATTAGAATTATGCTGGCCTCTCTTATTCCTAAGTCTGTTTATAGGAGTATGTCTTCTTAATATGAAACATTTTAAAATTGTATTTCTATATCTGTTTAAATATGGTATCCATCCACTCTCTAAGAGCAGGGAATGTGTTTCCCCTTTTTGCCTTTATACCTCTAGCACCTAACAACAACTCCCTGAATATAGGTGTCTAATAAATATGCGAGCAGTTGAATTAGTGATTAGCCTATATTTGTTTAGATGCTGGAAGACAGATGAAAATAATTCATTTTTCCAGGAAATGTCCCATGAATAGATGAGCATATGGTCAGGTTCAGCTACCACTCTCTGAAATAGCAGGTCTTGAAACACTAAATTCAGGAACCTCTGAGAAGTGTCTCAAATGACATAGCCCAGCACTCATGCAGACTGGAGCTAAGGGAAATTCATAGCTAAGTAGTAAATATGGGGTCCTTCCTACAGCAGGGAATATCCCTCCATGTTAAGAGAATGTAGATTTTAAATGTATATACAGAAAATGGAAGCGAGGATATCATAGAAAGTGTGTGTGTGTGTGTGTGTGTGTGTGTGTGTGTGTGTGTGTGTGTAGCATAGTCCTATAAGAATATATTGTGAATAGTAAAACTCAGAATAAGGTGAAATTGAGAAGGGAAAAGGTGTGGGGGTTTTATGCAGAGAAGAGCAAAGAAAGAGATTAAACAAGACTATTGTCTGGGCTGGATAGGACAATGATCACTAGCAACAGAGAAGGCAAAAATGCTCTACATAATTTTATTTTCCTTTTTTTCCCCTCTGTCAACCAACAAGTATTTATTGAGCATCTCTGACAATGTGTCAGGCACCATGCTAGATTCCAGGAACATGAGTATAAAGAATAAAATAATCTCTACTTACAAAAACCTTATATTCTAATGGAGGAGACAATGAGTATATATAAAAATGTGTCAAAGAGGATGAGTCTTGGTCTAGAAAGGAAAGAACATAAATGGTAAAAGGGATCACACAGGTTAAGTGACTTGCCCAGGGCCTGGAATCAGGAAAACTTCTCTTCCTAAATTCAAATCTGGCCTCACACTTACTAGCTGTGTGACCCTAGACAAGTCCCTTAAACTGGTTTGCTTCAGTTTCCTCATCTGTAAAATGAGCTGGAGAAGGAAATGGCAAACCATTCTAGTATCTTTGCCAAGAAAACCCCAAATCCTAAGGCAGACATGACTAAAATGACTGAATAAGAATAACCAGGGTCATAAGGATCTGAGGCCAGATTTGAACTCAAGTCTTCCTGACTCCAAGTCCAGTACTCCATCCCCTGTGCCACATAGCCAGGGGATATCTCAGGTGACTGAAACTTATCTTACGTGCTAAGATTTTTTAAGATCAACCATTTTTTTTTAATGAAACATCCTACTTTCTCAGGAAGAATAATCTGAATGTAATGCAAGTTTTTATAGATACTTCAGGGGCATCATCGTGAATGTTCAAGATTGTTCAGTGCTATGGAACAGAGGGGATATTAAGGGAAGGAAAAAGCATTTATGAAGCACCTACTATGTACCAGGCACTGTGCTTAGTGCTTTACAAGTACTATCTCATTGGATCCTTACAACAATACTGGGAGGAAGGTGCCATTATTATCATCACCATTTTAAAGATGAGAAAATTGAGGTCAAGAGAAGTTAAACAATTTGCTTAGGGTC